CCTTTATTATCATGCCAGCTCCATAACTCTCCCTTTCTTCTCTCAACTCTCAAACCCTCCAGGTTCCTCTGCTTAAAGAACAAAAACAGCGCTTCCGTGGTGTTCAGCACGTACACAGAGAAACACCCGTCCATAGAGAGGGGCCCTCCTTTCGTGCAGCCTCTACTAAACTTTATCTGGTTTCTGCTGCTGGCAGTGGACGGGTGAGGACAGATGTTGGGATTGTTGAGTTTGCTTATCATGCCTGACAGAAGTAAGCTTAAAAATATCAGTGAATTGTTTTCATCATTTAGATGCTTTTTGTTTGTTTTCTTTAGGGGTAAATTAACAGTTTTCACAGTGTTATGTGAGCAATATCAGCCTTCCCTGAAGAGGGATCCCATGTATAATGAGGTGAGTGTTGAGCTGCAGCTTCTACTGTTTGTCTTTGCCCAGAATGTATGTAACAAATGACTACGCCATGTGCACTAGGCTAACTTAACCTTTGAATTCATTTGGTTAAAGATGTTGGAGAAAGTCTGTCATTGAAGTCGCATCATGGGGTTAAACTGCCTGTAAACACAGACTCTACTCAGGTGTAATCCTCTCTTCCTCTCTCTCTTGACATTTTTGTGACTCCTCAGTATCTCGACAGAATAGGACAGCTTTTCTTTGGCGTTCCACCCAAACAGTCCCCATCGTATGGCGGACTACTAGGTGAGTTGGCAAACACAACTGATGTGTATATACACACACACGTTAATAGACTTACCAGCAAGATGAAGAGAAAATCTGATAGCGATGTTTTTCATCACCAGCTACTTTTGAATGTGATGCTACCAAGAAACTACCTGAAGCGTCTGCATCATTTATGAAGGTGCTTCAAAAGCTATTAGACAAGATGTAAAATAACAGGCAGCTTAATTAAAGGAACTGTTTGTAGTCGTGACTCTTACCCATGTAGAATGTAGGCTGTCTGACCTGGTTTTAACCCCCAGGAACTTGTATGTTTAAAAAAAAAAAAAATGAGGGGAATATCATCACTGTAGTTTCAGTGGCCACATGGACATAAACACTTTGTGTCACCAGACCACCAAAACAGTTTAAAAAGCTGGATATTAACCTTATCCGTTTCTATTTGAGATTTCTATTTCTCTTTTTTACGTCTCTGTTGGAATTTGAAGTAGGAGACTAATAAGGTGGCAGATGCTCTGACAGAAGGAGGCTTGTGGCCAAATACGAAAGAGCAGAAATGGAGACCGTGATGGATGGCTCAGCTTACCGCTGGAAATGTTTAATCCAAATCTTTTAAATTATTAAAGTTTAAATGTTTTCCTGCAGTTGTTTTTTGTGTTCCTTGTCAGTAAAATAAAGATATATTTCACCTTAGGGCTGTTCGATATAACGATATATATCGGATGATGTTATAAAAACACCTATCGTTTCATTTTACGCTATAGTTTGTTTCGTGGTGTCGCAAAATAAACTGTTTACGGCAATATTTTTTTCATCGTTTTGATGGTCACTGTAGCGGCTATATTAATTTCTTAAAGTTCTCTCTTTCTCTTATATTTAATATAACCACACTACGGAGGGACAAGCGCCTGTTTTTATGCGTTGTTGTTAGCAACAATGACAGTAAAACCATTGCGTGTCTGCTTGTTTCCACATAAACCTTTCACAATAAAGCTCAAGATTCTGTTGAGACTTTTCAAAATAAACTGAGTCACGTAAAAGTATGCAGAGTACTTACGGATGAGAAGCAAAAAGCCGTCAGGTGCTAAAAAATAAATGTTAGACTCAAACGTTAGAACAGGCTTTTTCCCGCAGCACGCCGTGTAATAAATACTCTCAAAGAAACGGCGGCTGTTACAACTTATGTCTAAAAATGTATAGTTTGATGCATCAGTTAAAACACTCGACTCCAGCTACACGACACCCAGCTGGAAACACTTTACACAAGTCGAGCTGCCTGCGATTCACAGAATTTACAGAAAATGTTACATTTCTGTGATTTATATCGTTATCGGGACGATAGATGTCTTATGACCAAAATCTCATATCCCGATATATCGCACAGCCCTATTTCACCTCAGTTGGCTTTGCAGCAGCCTTTGAAAGAATGATGATTGCTGTTTTGCACCTTGCAGGCAATCTGCTGAACAGCCTGATGGGTTCGGGTGAGGAGGATGACGGAACTGAAGAACCTCCAGAGGACAGCCCCATAGAATTAGACTGAGCACGCAGCCTGGGACGAGGGAATCAAGAACAAACACACGAAAAATAATGAATAAGACCACCCAGCCTCCTTCCTTCAGGTCCACCGCGGGGTCAGGGCACGGTGGTGGTCTGTGATTTCAGAGGTGTGCTGTTTAACAGAAACATCATCTCTCAAATCATCCAGTCAAAAAAAAGCAAGAAAGAAAAACTATTGGACCGGCAAAACAAACAAATACAAAAAAACACCCCCGTCAGCACTGCCTGGACTGACAACGCCAAACTGCAAACTGTTTTTGTGTTGAACTGTTATATACAATTATTTTAATCATCATTTTTGTTCTTTAAGGGTGTAAGATTTTTAAACAAGACATCACAACTGTCCTCTCTGCTTGTGAAAACCTGCTCCTAGGAGGTAGTTGGAGTCTCAGTGGAGAGGACAGCATCACAAGTCTGTCTCCATGACATAATGTCGCAGATAAGAGGGTTTAGTTGACTCACAGCAAGTCTCCAACTTGCCACGGTATAGCTGCTGTTGGCGTTTTTCAACTTATTCCGTTACAGGTTTCTTCTTCATCTTCTTCTCTCAGTAGGATATTAAATTATGCTTTTTAGTTGAGGTCAGGTTTCAGCATCTCATCTGCGGTTTAATGGACATTTAAAAAAAAAAAAACAAACCCCATCAGAGCTCTGAAGTTATTATCAGAGGTCACGTTGCACCTTAAACATCCACCAAACAAACCATTCTGCAGTGTCATTTCTGTTGTGTAACACTACTGCAAACACACAGCTGTCTGTATCAAACGGCTCCGTTGTTGTGTGGTTCAACTTTTTGCCCTATGCTGGCTGAACTGCTGCTGAGTTGCTTTAAATCTCCAAGATGAATTCTGCCCCCCCCCAAAAAAAAGAGAATAAAAAACCCTCGGATTTGACTTTTTGTTCCAACTGCAAGACATCAAATTTTAAAGCACTTACACAGCTGCAAAAGTGACCTTTTTTTATGAAAGGAGCGAAATCGGACACTGTGAAACGAACGTTTGTTAGACTTAAACTTGCATCGCATGTTGTAAATTGCTAATATTTAAACCAGCTGCTTCACTCTCGTTCTCGCGCCTCTGTTTTAGGTCCAAACCAGGTTTTTCTTGGAGGCGGTGAAACATCAGTTCAGCCGGTGCGAAATAAGAAGCATGATTCATTCAGTAGCTGCTGCTTATCAGTGTTAAAGTCATCGGCCCTCGGAGAGCACAGCGTTCTTGTCTTTTACTCACATTGAGAACTTCTCATTGTGACTTGTGATAACTTCAGGTCTTGTCAGTCTGTTTTTCGAAGTCCCAATTGTGCTCCATGTTATCTGAAAACACCTTTTTCAGCCCTGATTATTTGAAAAAGGTGTGCAACACTTTTCCTTCAATAAATGGCAGAAAAATTGGAATGTCTACAGGTCTTCCAGTGTAAAGTAATCTTTATTTGGTTAAACATTTTTCTTCCCATCAGCAAAGAAACAGATTTTAATCCACATCTCCGTCGCTTTTTTTAAAACTGCAAAAAAATAAAGCGTCTCTGCTCTCTGAGGGCTGTTCTAGTTTACTTTTATGTAGTTAGGTGTTGGGCTGTGGAAGTCCTAAAAGGCCAATATTAATAATAAAATAAAAAGAACAGCAAATAACCAATGAAATACATTAAAAAAAACAAACATTAAATGGTCTGATAATTCAATACATTAATTTCTGGGGAACTTCAGTTTTTGTGTTTTTTGCATTTAAGTATATTAAATAAAATGAAGACAGTAGGTATGCTAATAAATAGCAGTCAGAATAATTTATTGAAACACATAATTACTGACATTCCCCACAGAATCGGGCAGCTGCAGAGGGACAGACTGAATAGTGTAGACGCTCCGTGTCGTCAGTGTTTATCTCGTGTTGGAGAGAGACCATTTCTTTCTGCAGTTGTCGTCAGAAATCCTCCTATTTAAACGGCTGTTGTTAGTCATGAAACATTCAGAACTAGGTTCATCCTGCTGGCTTCTGTTACCCCACAGATCCGGGTCCACCTTCCAAAAGGGAAATTCAGGCCAAAATGACTTTCAGGCGAGTACATCCAAGCACGTGTTACCGTGTTGTCACATTTTTATTCAGTGTTAATTTTTCACAGCATCCTTTGAGTTTTGTAAGCAAAGGGAAAAAAATAATTTTGTTTTCTTAACCTGAAAGTCAGTTTAGTCAGATGTGTCCTGTTGTTACCAGGAAGAAGTGTGTGACCAAAGGCCTGCAGTGTGTGTCGGTGAGCGTCATCACGACTGTTTGCTGCTGTTTCTGATCATTTTGTCCTTTGAGAGCTAAAGCGAAGTGTTTGACTTTTCAGCTGTCACTAAATAAGAAAATAAACTACAACTGAGAAGAGTGTGAGAATGTGAAACGGCTTCCTTGTTGTTATTTATTTGCAAGCACTGGGAACTACAAAAATTATAAGCTGGTAAAACAGCTAGCACCAGCGAGACAGAGGAGTTTCTCTGTGAAACCATTTAAACTTGTGTCATTAACTTGGGCTGTGAGGCTGCAGCTTATCAGAGGTTTAAAGGTGGTGGTTCAGCTCCTGATAAAAGTATGTGGGGTCCTTTATCCCCTAGCAAGGCCTATTTTAGTTTGGTGGGAGGCTGTTTGTGTCATTTGCAGAATAAATCACTCAGCTGGAGGCCACCGTCTTGCAGTCTTGGACAGTCAACACACTAAAGGTGTCAAGGTGATCTGATTCAAGTACTCAGACTATATAAAAGTCTACACAAGACACAGAAAACAGGCATATAAAATTCCTTTGTTAGGTTTTATTTACACAAATTTAAATTGAGCAGTGTAACACGTCATTGAGTGTGGAGCTCAGGTGCGAGACTGCAGCGTGAGCCTCTGGACCATATCTGACAGATGAGTCATGTCCGGCTGCTGAGTCTGATGTTTGATGAACTCCAGAGTCCGAACCTGCAGCAGACAAAGATGAGAAGTCAGTGAGGCTGCATTCACAAATACAGCAGATTTAAAGTGTACAGAGTGGGCCTCGGAGCTCTGAAACATGAACTCACGGAGGTGCGGGTCTCGCAGCATCCATGTTTGTGGCTGAGGTTCCAAAGGTTGACTGCCAGCTGGCTCAGCTTGTTGTTCCTCAGATCACCGTGAGCCAGCAGGACACCAAACAGGGAGAAGGCCAGAGCGCCCTGGCGGCGTGTGCTCTGCTGCAAGAGAGTGGGAAATGCATGTCAGCGTGGTTTTCCAGTTTTTGGTTTTCATTCCCACATGTACATGAAGGCAGCATAACTTTGGTTACACAGCATCCAGATTTTGGCAAGCTTGAAATCTGGATTTTCACTAAAACCAGATTATTTTTCTTTAAAATAATTCCTTCAGCCATGGAAGCAGTTGCTTTTTGTTTTTGAATTTAGACACATCTAAGCACCGCATCCTCACCTCATCACGACCGAGTGTCTTCAGGTGGTCGAGGATCTGTCCAATCAGAGTCTCACACAGCTTGTTGATCTCTGATAGGAATTTGGGATCTCCGCCATAGAGCGTGTCATTAGAATCCACTGAGCCAGGAAACAGAATAATTAGATTAACGGGGAAAACTCCTCACTGTCTTACTACAGATGAAGACAGAATTATTACCCCCCTGTGGAATTTGCAGAACAAGGGACTTTAATTTTTTCATTTCCTTAGCATTTCTAAACATACTACTAGTATGTTTATACTATACTACTACTACATACTACTGCTTTTTATTTGTGGGGTATTTACATGTCTATCTAAAACATTGTAATATGTAATAGTAATACATTAGCTAATACATAATATTAAATAAATTATATATATCTCTATATATAAATAAAATAAATTATATATCTATCTATCTATCTATCTATCTATCTATCTATCTATCTATACACACACACACACACATGTATCTAATATCTAATAACCATGTTAATAAAAAATCTTAATAAGATTGAGGACGATCAGTTACGATACACAACAGTAAGTTGTAAGTTTGTGTGTTTGTGGAGATGTGCTTGGTTTCAGCCCCTGGCGTCTGATCCAAACCGAGATAAGTCAGAAGCATGTAGCAGATGTCATTAAATGAAGATATATTATTTCTGTGGTAATACATTATTCTCTCTAAAGTCACGTATTCTGTAATAAGACTGATCCAGTGGTTCGGGAGTAGTGATCTTTTGGATTTCCAATTTCAAAATATAGCTTTCTTGGCAATAGAGAGATAAAGAAGAGCTTGAGAGTTTCCTTAAAAAAAAAAAGAATGGACTGGAATCCCTCTGGAGACGTGTGAGAGACTTGTTGAAAACAGCACTGTCCTCAACTGTACATGTGACAAGAACAGGAAACGTCACAAGTAAAAGCTCAACGCGTGAAACTCTTAACTTTTAGGGCTTACAGAAATTAGCCTGGAGAAAATCTGTAAAAGTCTGTCTTTGTTAGAGCTCTCTGATGTAAATTCAGTGTTTACGTGTGTGCCGTTACCTTTGGGGATAGAGTACAGATAGGTTTCCTGGCTCATGGCTGCCAGCAGGGGCAGAGCACTGATGTAAACCCGCACCTTTGCATCGCTGTTGTCTTCCCAGGTATAATCCTGGACCATGTTGAGCAGACCCCGGACTAAGTAGAGCACCCCATGCTCTGGATGGTCCTGTTAAAAGACAACAACAACAAAAATCAAAACATTTGTCAAGCTGAACTGAGACAAAAATGGGCGATTACAGGTGTGGTCCGTCTCCTGTAAACCCACCTCTGAACCGTAATGAACCTTACCGGGATAACCAGCAGCGTTGCCAAGAAGCTGTTGATAAAGTCCACGAGGAAGCTTTCAGAAGAGCGAAGTTTTCCCTCCACGCTGATGGAGCGAGGAACCTCCGGAAGAATGCTTACGGCTGCCTTTAGGAAAGCATCGGCTGGAAGAAGGAAGGTGGAGAACGAGTCAGAAAAGGCGTGGGAAGGACAAGAGAAACAGAAATGATCGCAATACAGTAAAAACATTAGGGACACAAGTTTTGATCAACTAAATCTTAAACTTAAATCTCGAATGAGACAGCTACTTACCCTGGGACAGACACTGATTGGCCAAAGCAACCTGACCGGACAACAGGTAGAGGCTGAGTCGACTGAAGATGCTGCTGAGAGACGGGATGGTGATGAAACTGTAGGCGGCACATGCCTAGAAGAGAGAGGGAGAGGAAAATTTCATGCAATGTTATTTCTGTAAGACAGGCCTATAAAAAAAAGCTTGCTAGCATTAGGTGATAAATTAGCATTAGCCAAAATGCTAATGTTGACTGTCTTTTATATACAGTCTGTGGTTTTTTGACTTTTCCTTTGGCATTGCTAAAAAGTCATCCAAGAGGAACGTACGGTGATGTGAAATGATTAGAGACTGCATGTGTGGACTCACTCTGACGAAAGCAGCGGTCTTGCGGGAGTGATTCCCTCTCATCACCCTCCTGGTCTCCATGGCCAGCTGGTTCACCGTCTGTAAACGACAAGGTTACATGAAGGAGATGGCGTTGTGGCTTCTGTCACTTAATGCTGAAATGCCAAACACAGGCTTACATGAATGAGTTGCACCAGGACAGGCTCCAGGTTACAGAAGGTGGCTCTAGCCTCCACACAGAAACTCAACTGCTGCTCAAAGTCACGACCAAAGGAAACCTGAAGTGCAGAGAAAAAAATTTTAACCCCAAAATTGAAACAAAAACAACAGATGCAGATCAAAACAATGCAATACAAGAGGCCGAAACAGCAGTTGTGATTGTTGTTGACATAATATAATAGATGTGATAATCTCACCATGCGGATGAAGCCGATGATCAGCAGAGCCAAAGATCTTTTCTCGTCTTCGAGAGTAAGAGCACTTCAAGACAAAGAGAAAAATAAATGCGCTACCGCACGAACACAGCTGAAACGACGACTTTAAGTCACAGATATGAAAGTAGCATACGTCTGTATAACACACACAAACGAATACCCTACTTGACAGAGTCGTGCATGGTCTTGCAGATGTGCAGCATGGCGTTGAGGATCACCGGGTCTCTGGTGAGCTCCACCTGGTGTCTAAAGGCCAGAGAACAGAGTAGAACATCAATACGAAACATCAACGTTTCTGCCACAACTCTCAATAATCTCATGACTTTAACGAACTCTTACTTGATGAAGACCTCCATGATGGATTTGCAGACCTCCACCCTCACGCTGTCCTTCTGGAACATGTCCAGGAACGGCAGGAATCGCTCCTGAAGAACCAAAAAGAGCAAAAACTGAAAATGTAGCTCGACTTATGGCACTGGAATCACAGTTTCATCGTTGCAGCTCAAGCTGTAGAAGCTCACCATGGAGAAGAGGACAGAGAAGTCGTGGAAGTAGGTGAGGATCTTCCTGATCACCGACTGCAGCTACACGCAGAACAGACACGAGACAGTTAGTACAGAGCAGAAGGAAAGAGGAGGATGGAGAGTAGCAGAGATTCAGGGAAGCATCGTGCACCAACCTGAGGGTAGGCGTCCTCGAATGCTCGGTCAGGGGTCATGTGTTTGATGATGTCAGCCAAAATCGTGTTGACCTCCCGTTTCTGACAGTCACGCAGAGAGAGGATTAAGAAAGGTAGTGCATTTCCAAAACATAAATAAATAAAATTTGTGTTTGACTGCTTTCTACTCACTGTAAAGTGTCTGCAGGTAAACTCCACCCAGATTTCAGCACAGTTGATGTAGTCCTGCAAACCAAAATGAGATTTTCAGTAACAATCTGGAACATTCTGGCAGGAATAACGGGACCTTTTGAAAACTACTGTCAGCGGTTCAGAACCTGAGGACTGCGGACTTTGGTGATGACTTTCCAGGCTTCATTCAGGATCGTCAGCCTCTCGGATTCTGGAGGATCGGCAGACGCCAGGCTGCGACCCAGAGAGCCAAACAACAGATGCTGAAAAGGAGACAAAATTCATTCCAAAAAGATTTAGACAATGACCTGAACATCTGCCTCTATCCTTTATATATTTTAATGACTTTATTACCCAATGAGATTGATTTTTCATACTCGTTGTGAATTATGTGAAGGTGTAATGACTACTTTTTCTTCAGCTTTTATAAACCTTCCCATTAAATTATTGGCAGTAAGGAATTTTCACCAGTTGATTGTGTTGACTATAATCCTGGAGGAGCTGTAGAGGAAACAGAGAGGTTTCAGATCTGGCCATCATCATGGGAAAGGAGTGGAGAGAATTTGTCATCAGTGTTGCTGTTTGAATCCAGCTGGAATCAACACACTGTCTGGATTCCTCCATTAGCTGATGCAGAGGCCATGTAACTGTGGCTGTAGACCTTCTGCATCACTTCCTGCACATACAGCTGAGCACATCAGTTTCATTTCCACTGACCTCATACCAACAATACCTGCATTCATTTTAGCTTTGAGCTCCTTATTGTGTCCATATTTAGACTTTAATTCACTGAGCTCTGACATGATTTTTGTGGTGTAATTGTTTTCCCTTTCCAAGCTGTTTTGCTCTGGGATATTTTAAATTGTGTTACTGCCAAGTTGTTTTTCATAAGTATTTTTTATCTTGTACTTATTTCCCCACATCCAATAAACAGAAGATGACTTCTTTGTTTTTAACCAAGGTAAGAAAAAAGATGCAGTGAACATGAAACGTTCTCTGACCTTTGGGAAGCCGGCCTCGTCGCAGTCTTTGATCATACCGATGAAGTCTGTGGCTCTGGCTGCAACAAACTCTGGCCTGAACGCCCTCATTACTGAATTCAAAAGCAAAGCACTGTGGGAAAGCAAAGATGAATTAGTGCTGTGCCATACATTCTGTGACAACTTTAGCTAAACCCATGCTAATAACGGTCATTTCTATGAAATAAAAGGATCGTGACACTTCCAGGTAAATCACATGACAAGAAACAGCTACTAATAATTTTAAAGCACTCACTTGTTTCCCAGTTTTTTGCATCTCTCCATCATCTCTGTTAGCAGAGACTGAAACAGAAACACAAGCAGCATTAAAAGCAGAAACATCACTGAGGTTGTGCCCCTGCGACGCTCTCACCGAGCTCCACTTTTTCAATAAAGTCTAAGTAAATACCTCTGGAGCTCTGTACGCGATACACTGCAGGATCCAGCTGATGGCAGGTGAGTAGAGTGTCAGGTACTCGGGCATCTCCACCCTCTGCAGCACCAGCTGGGCCCGGACGTTCTCGCTGCTGATCTGTCGAAAAGTGCCGAGCAGGTCGAAGAAGTTGCGGTTCAGGCTGTCTTTCAGGTGGGGGGCCACCTCCATGCCCACCTGGAAAGAAGGATATAGGTGTCAAACAAACAAAACCTACAAAGCTGGTAAACAGCGCAAGTCAAAAATAGCAATGTTCATGCATTTGCAGCATTTTTTTATGGCAACTGATCTGGACAGGAGGAGTTGCAATATGCTCACTCAGAAAAAAGAGGCATCAACGACAAACGACAGGAGACAGAAATAAGTCATAACATGAAGGAGAGAAGCTGGGGTCACAGTGGGTTGCAGATGTAGCAACAACAGCCTAAATAGGACACCCCAGAAACACAATCAGCAAGGTAGGGAAATTAAGGAAAGACGAGCAGAGTCCATCTCACCCTGCAGAGGTAAGCTCTGGCATATGCAGCCACCAGAGGGTCTCCAATCCCTCTGACCATGGCACTCAACCGAGGAAGGGTCTCCTGAATGCCGCTGCGGACAGTGGCAGGACAGATGGTGTTTTCTTTATGTCAAACGATTTTATTCCAGTTTACAAACATGGTTGATGCATCACAGCTATTAAAATGACATTTTCCAAATATTATTGCTAAATCTTTACGTTTTCTAAAGAAAAATCCTTGTGGAAACCAGCTGATAAACTGAGGACTCACGATTTGTTGAGGAACCGGTTGCACTTGAGAATGGCAGCTTCAACATAGCTGTATCACGAGGTTAAAGAACCAAATTTACATACAAATTACTTACAAACATACATAGCTGAGCCACTTTGCATTTAATCGTTATTATTAATATCTGGTTCTCTTTCAAAGTTTGTGTTTTTGGCCTGTCTCCCTCCCCACACCTCTAACCGGTCACAGCAGATGGGTGCTCCTCCCTGAGTCTGGTTCTGCTGGAGGTTACTTCCTGCTAAAAGAGAGGTGAGGTGACTGTTGTTGAGATTTGGTGCTATGTAAATAAAACTGAATTGAACTTGATTTTAAAACCAGGTCTGCGAGTGAATGAAACTCCAGCCAAAAGCAGACTATGAACAGAAATCCTGAGTGAGGGTGTTGAAGGATACAGTCTGGGAAGGAGCTCTCTGATGGAGGCGATCTTGTAGAACCAGTTGAGGCACGTCTCCTTTGCGGTGTCATTCACATCTTCAACTGTGAAATTATCTGAGGTGGCAAACAAAAGTCAAATGTGAATTAACAAAAACTAAATCAATCCAACATGACTTCAGAAGGTGCAAGGATCGTCTAAATGCTCTGAAGAATTTAAAGCTTTAAGTTGATTGTCAGCATTTCCACTTTACCTGGTAAAGGCCGTGGGTCTGAACACATGGTCCAGATCCTGTCGTACACCAGCCGGCCTGCAAACAACAAGGACCCGAGTCACAAAACTTGCACATTGTTCAGGTTCAACTGTGGAAAAAAATCTTTACTGACCAAATGTGTCAAGGATATCAGTGATGAGAACAAATTTGCTGGGGTAGAACTGGATCACCGAATTGTCGGACAGAAGCTTGGAGCACTGCAGCACAGATCACAGATCAGGGGTGATATTTATTAAGGCGACACCAGTTAAAATGAGCACCAATTAAATAAACATTACCTGGATGACAATCTTCAGGGCTTTGACCTTCTGGTCAGAGGACCAGGCCTCCTTTAGGGACTGGTTCAGCTCCTCGATGCGGTTGGCGTAATCCTGTTGCGAGAGGTTCAGCAGCTCTCTCTGGGAGCCCTGCACACACACACAGGCAAGAAGATCCAATGACATCCCCCATCGTATTTCTTGAAAGAATAATGCAAGGCCAGCCAACAGTGGGACGCCTACCTCCTCTAGATCATCCAGCTCCTCCAGACGAGTGCGAACCTTCTCTGAAACAGCCGATCCTTGACTGGTGGCTTTTCCTAGTGAAAACAGGAAGTGATGTATAAGTTGTGAAGTTAAAGACCAAATAACAACTTAATAAGTGATGCTGACATTCTTTTTGTTTGCCCATTTTGTTTTTGCTGCCATTTATGGTTATGATAGACAGAAAAAAGCAATTTGAAAGGATTTAGGTAGTAAAATGAATATATTCTGATGCTGTCACAGGATTTATCGATACGACAGATAACTATAGACATTGAAAGCATTCAGAAATTTTCTGAAATCATTATATGTGATAGAAACAGGTTGCTCTTACCTCTGTCAGAGCCTATGAACAGATTCTATGGAGAAAAAACAAATTATAATTAAATTTTAGAACATCAAAAAAGTGCTAAACTCTCTTGAATATTTTGTTAATTGGTGAAGCCATCAGGTTCATTTCCACTATGTTTTCAAGCAGCATTAAATTATGAGACAGCAGGCCCTTGGGTAAGAGGTAAGCATAACAACAGCCTTGCTGCTACGATAGAGGACTCACTATGGAGAGTTTTTCGGTGGTGGTGAACCTGGCCAGGATTTCCCCTCGCTTCAGTGACCAAGGTTCAAAATCTGGTCCCACTGCCTCTTCTTCCTTCTCTCTCTTCCTCCTCCCCAGGTCCTGAAAGCACATCTTTATTTAGTGTCACTTTCAAATGAGCACATGCTTCAGGATTTACATTTGTCCAAGTCACTGACTCCTGTGGAGCTGCTGTGGGACATGGGTGGCGTCTCGCTGGCCGAGGCCGCGGCAAACATGGACAGGGGGTCGGTCCCGTCCAGCATGGAGCTCAGAGGGTCTGGTGGTGCTGAGGAAGAGGAGGATGAAGAGGAAGAGGTGCTGCCTTTGCGGGTCCCACGGCGGGTCTTTGTATCGGTCACCTGGATGGATTGAGAGAGGGTCAAACCTGTCACAGGCCCATTAAAAAAACCACAACAAGGTTTCTGCATGTTTTCAGTGAATTAAAGCGAATAGAGATGCAGCTCAACACTGATACCATGATGGGTTTGAGTGGGTGGTAGTCTCCAAAATCGACAAGAGCGGCCTCAAGACGACACCTCTGCAGCTCTGTGTCATAGTTGCGGCCATGCGAACGCCTGGTTGCAAAAGAGATAAGACAGCTTTTTGGTCCTGCTATCGTTGATAAAGCACTGACGAACATGACCCAGTCACACAAACAAAGCTAAACTAATTATGGCACAACTCTGTGAAAGAAAGGCATAGAATGTGTGAAATTACAAAGAAATGTCTGATTTCATCGTCTGTGGTTCATAATTAAAAGTCTAAAAGAATCTGGAGAAATAAACGTACAGGAAAGTGAATGGCTGCTACATTTCTGAGAAATATGTTGGATATCTACACTGATAAGGACTGTGTAATGGGTAAGGAGTGAAAGGATGGTACGTTATCAACCTACAGATGGCTAAAAGCTTCAAAACACACAAAATTTGATTGCACTAACTCAAAACTGTACTCAGTAGTTTGTATAGCCCCCACATGCTTGTAGGTATGTCGAACAATGTTGGGGAATGCTCCTGATGAGATGATGGATAGTGTCCAGGGGGATCTCCTCCGAGATCTGGACCAGGGCATCACTGAGCTCCTGGACAGTCTGAGGTGCAACCTGACAGAGGCAGTTGGACCAAAACAAAGTCCAAGAGGTGTTCTACTAAATTTAAGTCAGGCAAGTGTGGAAGCCAGACATCGGTATCATCCTCAAGGAACTGCCTGCATACTCTCAACACATGAGGCTGGGCATTGTTGTGCACCAGGAGAAATCTGGGACCCACTGCACCAATGTAGGGCTCAAAGGTTTCATCTTGATACCTGATGGCAGTCAGGGTGTCACTGCCTGTAGAGTTAGAGTGCACGTCCATCCATGTATATGTCTCCCAAAAGCATTACTGAGCCACCACCCACCATACCACTCACAGTGAACAACATTACAGGCAGCATCATGTTCTCGATAACTTCTACAGACTCTTTCATGCCTGTCACATGTGCTCAGGGTGAACCTGCTCTCATCTGTGAAAAGCACAGGGTGCCAGTGGACCTGCCAGGTCTGGTACTCAATGGGAAATGCCAGTGTAAATGTCACAGTGCTGTGCAGTGCAGTGAGTACAGGGCCCACTAGACCATGCTGGACAATCAAGCCAGCTTCATGCAGTTTGTTTCTGATTGTTTGATCAGAGACATTGACACCAGGGTCCTGCTGGAGCTCTGACAGTTCTCATCCTGCTCCTCACAAAAGAGCAGATAGTGAGCCTGCTGATTGGTTAAGGACCTTCTCCGATCCTGTGTCCTGAAATCCCCTCCATGCTCTTGAGACTGTGCTAGAAGACATACAAAAACTTGTGGCAGTGGCACGTATTAATATGCCATCTTGGAGGAGTTTGACTACCTGTACAATCTCTGTAGGGTCCAGGTATCTGCGGCCAGCAGTGACAATGACCCAAGGCAAATGCAGAACTAGTGAAAAATCGTCAGAAAAGACGAGGAGGGAAAAATGTCGTTATAAGCCAAATCTACACCGTAACCGAAGAAGGCGTCTGATTCAAAGTCACAGTCATAATAATACCATAAAAAGCTTCTTCGTCTTTAATGTTATGTTGCAAGCCTGAAAAAAGTTGACATTTAGTTTACGACGCTAACTGAACATTAAACGCACGACAATCGTATCTACGCTACACGCGTGTGCTCAGGCGTGGCTCAGTGTTTAAATACTAAAGATTTAAGTTGTTAATAAACCGTTTGTAAAATAAGAAGACAACATCTTACCACTGCACTGCAGCCATTTTTCTGCATCATATGACACCTCAGGCCTCAGCTCGGAAGTTAATTTAATTTGGGTGGTTTTTTTCCACAGTCGAGGGGTTAGTTAAATATCTATCGCCGCCACACTTAATGGATACCGCTGTGAATATGTATTTAAGTTTCATTTATAATTTTTTACGAAGACAGCGTGATTTAAGAGGCATTTTAATGAACTATCGCAAAATACAACTTCATTTCCCAGGATATATTGCGAGCTTTCGACGCACTTTCGCCACAGAAGAGAACAAATAGACAGGAGGCGCCACTTTGGAACAATATACCGGGTAGCGACTTTTTATGTTTAACGCTACTGATTTTACCATAATTCTGACTGTTGCTGTCAACTCCTGGCACACTTTTCCTTACAAATATTTTCCAGATATTTCGCTAGCACTCCAGTCTAGAAGCCAGAACAGAACAAGCTGCCAGCTTTGCTGCTGTCAAGCAACTCATCTCGTCAATACACGATCTTCTTCGTGAGTCTCGCCGCTTACAGTCTGATTGCTGCAGTTAGGGGAGTAGCTGTAGGTTCCAGTTCAGCCGAACCATGACCTGACCGTGGTGCTGCAGGTCTGTCTGCCCAGTTCTCCTGACCAGGTACAGTCTAGCGATGTTAAGTTTGGCTCGGGGCGGCAAATAGTTTCTATTAAAACAAACACGTAAAGGCTGGCGTTTGGAAGCGGCTACAGTTAGCTAGCAGCTAGCCAGCTAGCGTTAAAGTGTGACATGTCTGACTGTTTGGATATAATGGACACGAGTCAAACTGGTTGTAGTCCTGTGGCCATTAGTAATACTGTTTTGTCTTTTATATGTAGACTTCATCAGTCATAACCAGTCACTGTGAGAAACATGTTTTGTTGTTGTTGTTGTTGTTGTTTTTTTAAAAAAAATATAATAACATTAAAACCAATAGCAGAACTGTGATTTGATAAACTTTGAACTGTGGTGGGGTCTGAGCACAATGTATGGCTTACATGTCAAAGTGATGACCAAGTGGAGACCTCTTGTGTTCATTTGACTCAGCCGGACCTTCCTGTGAAACATCCATCAGTTTCCATTCATCCAGCAGCGCAGTGTAGACGCCGGTTTGATGATTTTTATAATATGATAGCACGAAAGTGTTCTTGTGATCTCACTTCATGTCAAGCTGAAGGTGGCAAAGAGTCAGACTCTGATTCACAGTCTCCATTAGTTTTATAACTTGAAGCTGAAGAAGTGAAATAAAAACCTTTCATCCAGCAGCATGATCAATAATGCGCAAAGCACATCACAGTCACTAAAGCTGCTATCAAAGGGACTGAAGACAGGGCTATACTTAAGATTATCTCCGTGTCTGTGTTTAATTAATCAGTTTCAGAAATAGTGAATGATATTCTTTGAACATTTCCAATATCCAGAATCCAAAAACATGAAAAAGCAAGCTGCTGACTACAAGTGAAAAATATCAGACAATCCCCCCTCCTCCTCTCTGACTCACAGAAGACAGTGCAGAGGAAGAGGACAAAGTAAAGCTTATTATAGTGAGACTGTGAGGTAGTGACCTTATTCTATCTAAGTCCAGATTTAGGGCAGCAGGTTGCCATAGAGACTGCTTCTTCTCCCATGAATCCCCCATCTGTGTGGCACGATCTCCTTCTGTCTGTCAGATACAACCATGCACGTTAATATTATGCCCTTCAAACACCCTTCAGACGCCCACCAGCCTTCCTGTGCAGTGGTGAGACTCGTTCAACTTGTCACACAACCAGAAATCGTGTTCGCTCTCTTTATTGCTGAAGTAAAGGAAGTAAAGGCCCTCTCAACAAGAATTTGTCTAATGTTTCTGTATGTTACATGTAGTCCCTGACTTATGCGATTATGTTAAACTTGACAGATCTGTACATGTCACCTGTTGCTGGATGTCCCGTCTTATTTTCATCTTCTTTTAAATGTAAATAATGAGAGATGCGCTCTCATTATTAATGCCATCCTGTTTTGGAGAACCTGAACAAGTCTTATCTGTGTAACCAATACTCACTTTCATGACCCGATGCTCCAGGATCAGGTGGCCACTTTATTTTCCTTAAGACGTCCGTTTGCGTTTCCCTCTTATAAGGTTACCAATCTGCATCTCCCCTGAGAGTCCCCAATAGGTTTTTGGCCTGCAGATGAAGATTTGTCTTCAATTATTAAGAGGAGAAGTTTATTTGTAGGGGCTGATGGGCGTAACTCCTTACCTGATAGCCCTTGTCCTTGTGTGCTTTGATGGGCATATGTCACACAGGAGATGCTGTTACTGTACTTGAGTAACTTCAGTGTTTTCTAGGGAAAGGGAACACTTTCTGGGAAAGGGATCCCTTGTCCTCTATAAAGCTCACTAGTCTTCCTGTTGCCTGCCTTCTCAGATACACTGGGAGCTCTCAACAAGCACTCGGTGACGATGGAAAGCTCCGCATCTGTCAGGCTGCGTTACGAGGAGCTGCTGTTTTATGCGGCCTGTGTTTCTAACTGCTGGTCTGTGTGTCTGTGTGTCTGCGTGTGTTTAGAAGGCAGAGTGTGTAGGAGAGGAGGCAGTGGCGGTGGTGGCATGCGTGTGAGCAGCAGCTGGAGGTGGCAGCTCTCCCGAGCCATGCGACTGGCGCTGCGCTGGTGCTGGCTGTGCCGCACGCAGAGGGGGGGCCAAGGCGGGGGTACCAAAGCGGGGATCGGCGGCAGGTTGTCAGAGGTGTGGCGTTACAGCAAGCTCCTGCTCAAGTCGCTGTACTTCAACAGCCTCACCAACTCAGACACTCTGCTGGACTGTGCTTTTGAACCCGTTTATTGGATTGTGGACAACGTGACCCACTGGTTTGGAGTGGTAAGCTCACTTCCCTCCTCTCTTGATTCCCACGCCTGCTGCTGCTTTCCTTAATCATTTTTCCTTCTCTTACCCTCCCAGGTGTTTGTCTGTCTTGTCGTCTTGCTGACATCCTCAGTTGTGGTCATTGTCTACCTGTTTGTCCTTCCCATGATCGTCAGCACTTACCCTGCACACTGGATTGTGTGGCACCTCTGTTGTGGCCACTGGCTTCTCATTATGGTGGTGTTCCATTATTACAAAGCGACCACCACCTCTCCAGGACACCCACCAAAGGTAGGAGTCACACTCCTCAGAGGCTGACATAGTGACTTATTCTGCTGCCATCATTGATTTTTACATTTTTTTAAGTACAAATGTGAATACTTTTTAACATTTAAAACATTTCTTTTTTGGTTTATGCGTTGGTTTGTAGGTATTTTTTGAGATAGGGTGATTATATTTCAAAGACTGTAATTGAATTACTTTTTGAATATTAACAAATCATAAAATCATAAAGTAAAAATCTACATACAAAAGTATTTCTGATTTCTTAGGGGTTTTTTTTTTTTTGCATATTTGTCACACTTACATGTTTATATGTTACATAACCCAAGAAAATGAATTTTTTTTTAATGATTTTATTTAATTAGGCAGAAGTTATCCAAACTTACCTGCCCCTGTGTGGAAAGGTAGTTGCCTCGTAAACCTAATAACTGGTTGTGCCACCCTTTGTAGCAAGAATTGCAGTCAAGCATTTGTGATAATTGGCTATGTGGCTTTCTAATGGCTGTGGAGGAATTCTTTTGATTCAGTCACACTGGACAGGTTTTGAGCACGAACGGTCGGTTTAAGGTCATGCTAAGGTCATGCTAAAGCGTCTCGATTGGATTGAAGTCCAAACTTTAACTTGGCCGCTCCAAAACCTTCAGTTTGTCTTTTTGAGCCTTTCGAAGGTTGACTTGCTGGTGTGTTTACCATTGTTCTGCTGCATACCCATGTGTTCTTGAGCTTCAGGCCATTAACTGATGGTTAGAAATTCTGTGTTAGTTTTACGTCAGATGTAACCTTTTGTCTCATCAGAGTATTTGCCCAAAAGACTTGGGGATCATTAAGATGTTTTTTGGCAAATATGAGACTGGCCTTTGTGTTCTTTTTGATCAGCAGTGGTTTTCTCCTTGGATCTCTCCCGTGGAGGCCATTTTTGCCCAATCTCTTTCTTATTGTTGTATCATGAAGTCTGACTTTAACCCTTTAAAGCTGGTCAGAGCGGGCACGCTCTGTTTTGCGTAGCTATTTTTAAATCCCGGTAGAACTGCAACCAGGTAAGCTCGCGCAATAATTTTTTTTGCACATGAAACCAGAGGAGTTGTACTTACATCTTATGCCATCAGCTTGTCCTAGGTCACAGTTTCCTTCCACATATAGCTTTGCAAAAATGGCATAAAAACCACTTGCAGCAATAAAAACACAATATTCCAGAAACACGCTTTACCGATCCGATCAGCTGTTCGTAACACTTCCTATGTTAGAATAGATCATCAGCGCAAACTATCGCACGTCCGCCATTACCTGCCCGAAACCGGAAGTGACGTCATTTTCTCGGAAATGTAGTTTTTCACCTTCAGGGCCCCATCAGCCTATACTGGTGTTTTAAAAGTTATGTTTGACTTTATGACTTTCTGTGTCGTTTCTGGGATGCTTAGAAGTCATATTGCACTGCTGGAAATAGTTTATTTTGATGCATATGCTGTTTTTTTGCAAATTTGCATTATAATATTTATTTTCGTTTTTCCTGTAGTAAATAAAAATTGGTGTATTTCAAAAATAAAACTATGAAGACATCCAAAATAAATTTCCTGTGGTGGGAAACTATTTTGTGCAACTTTTTTGTATTTACAGTTTTGAGGGATAAACCTCTTAAGTTTCTCTAACTAGAAATATATGTTAAAAAAACCAAAACGATTTTCAATTTTTTTTGTAGTTTATTGCACTTTTTTGTAATTTATGTAATTACTATGCACTTAATGCAGACATATTATTAAAATTTGGGCTATAATGGTTGTATTGATGTATAGCAACTTGAAACGCTCCCAAAAATGGCTCCACAGCATGTAAAAATATAATATAAGCTCTGGCGGACTTGGTTCTATGGTAGGTCTTAAAGGGTTAACCGAGACAAGTTGAAGTCTGCTTTAGATGTTGTTCTGATTCTTTTGTGACCTCCTGGATGAGCCGTTGCTGCACTCTTGGAGTGACCTTTTTTTTTTTTCCTTAATGAATGAAATCTTGACTTTAAATACAGCGTTTTGTATTTACTCAGGTTACCTTTGTCTAATATTAAAATTTGTTTCATCTGAAATATTCAAATAGTCAAAAAATGTAGAAATCAGAAAAGGCAAAAACCTTTTCACAAAACATAACATTGTAACAAAAGACATCAAACCTGTGAAATAATTTACTAAGGTCATAAATCAAGTGAGAAGTAGGTAAAGTGTTTTTTTATAAACACTTATACAATTGGACTTTTTAAAAGCAGAGGAACTGCCCCTGATGGTCGTTAGAAAGAATGCAGGTTTATGTGTCACTTCTCAGACCCAGCGGTCCATCATTCCATCTTTTATGTACAGGCTGTGGTATT